ATATGAGGGAGAGGGGGGGATGCTGGGGAGGGGGGAGGGTAATGTAAAACACAGAATCCAGTTGGTCTCGCCTTATTGTAAGTTGAAAATTCAGTAACAGTTTTATTAGAATTTTCCTTTATATGTACGGTTTTCTTAAGCTCATTTCTAAGCTGACCGAGTATAGAAAGATTATCAGGAGTTAACCTGTTTCTTATTTTTGATTTTATTAACCCTAGCGATGAAAAAAGTCGTTCACAGCTAGCTCCATGAAGAACAATAACAAGAACTTTCATTGCAAAACGATGTAAAAGGGGAGCATTTCCAGTGAATTCAGACCAGTATGATCGTAGAGATTGTGAAGAACTTTTAAAAGGTGTATCAAAAGGAGGGTCATTATTTTTATAACTAAGCAGATCTTTAAATAAAAGACTTGTATCTATTTTTTTAAAATTCCAGGTTTTAGCAAGTTCGAGCGAAGCCCGTATGATTTTGTCTCCACTCATTTTTCTGGATATTGCGAGAAATTTATGAGGTGGAGAAAGAAAAAGTGCGATAAAAAAAATGTCGCTATCAAACTCTCTTGCACGTTTACTGATAATAGCAAGAGCATGGGCTTTAAGTCCGTTAATAGGAACTTCAAGTTGGGATATTTGTTGATGTATGTTGATAAGTTCTTTAAAGATATCAGCGAGAGTAGAATCATTTGATTCTAGCCTTCCAATAGCATCAACAATTGGTTTGATTACTTTCGTTAAAGCATCATTGTTTGCAAAATGGTATCTATCACTGATAATATTTTTAATTGTTATATTTTCGATTTCAGGATATTTAGGGCGTGCTGTTTCACTTAATGAAAGACAGTATCGAAAGCCTTGTTCGTAAACTGACACGCCCATACAAACTTTAGCTAATGAATACTATCTAGTTTTGCAAAACGTGTCTAAGAAATGCCCAATGCCTTGTTCCTTTTTCCAGTTTTGTAACTCCTGACGCCAGATATGCGATGAGGTAAAGAAATTAACAAGCTTCTGGTTTTTTTTACAAACTGTTAAAATATTAGAATAACCAGAAATATCTTTAACAATCAAATTAAAAATGTGTAAGCAACAGCGAACGAAAATGATATTAGTGTATTCCTCCTAAAGAAAGAGAGAAAAAAAGGATAAGTTTTTGTAGCATTATATTTTATATTTTATATACTGTATAAACACGAAATAATGCGCGAGCGATTGGCATAAATTTCGTGCTTATACAAAATTTGTATTGAATATATTTCTTACATTAAGTAATCGTCTTATTTTACCTATGTTTGAAGGATTATCAGTAACACAGGCGATAATAGATAGTATTTTAATACCATTAATAGATAGAACTTCTTTCAATTTATCTTTGAGAAAGTTGCCTGTGTGATGATCCGCTAATAAGTCAAGAATGTCAAGTACAATTTCTTGGTTTTCTTTAAGCGCCATAAAGCTGTATAGCGAGTTTCCAGAATTATCCGTCCATCCATCAAGCGAAATTGTAAGATCGGTTAGAGTAGAAAGGGTAGTTAATTTCTTTTGAAGATGGTTTGAGAACATCTTAGTTAAAAGACGTCCTTTGACCATGTCACAAGAAGGTGAATTAAATGACGTATTTAAACCATTAAGAAATTTTCAAAAATAACAAAATAGAAGAAATCTACAATAAAAAGTATCTAAATAAAGCCAGAACATAGACAAAATTAGTACAAAA